ACTAATAAGCAGCTTTTAAGTTTCACTGGCTAACGCAACACACTGGCCCATGTCGATGCTGATTTCGACTCTTTAAATGCAAATTGTGTCCACACTCCCACTGACTTCTATCCTCTGTCAAACGATATTTACTTATTACCGAGTGTCTTTTCTCCATTTTCTGTGGCTACAGTGATGATACACCTTAAAAAGGCTCGAGTTTCAACAGCTCTCGGGCCAGATCGTATGTCACCATTTCTCCCCAAATCTTACTGTTTTTTCGTTAGCCCCTACCTTGAGAAACCTTATCGGCTTTTCCTTCATGCACTCGAAGATTCCAGATGAGTGGCATTGAGTAATAATCACTCCCATCCCCAAAGACCTCTAATTATTGCCTCTTCTTCCGCACCACTGAAACTCGCGGACTAAGTTGCCTTAGACATAATCACGCCATTCTCCTCCAATTTTTCGGGTTTGTCCTACAAATTACATATAGGGCCAAGCGTAGTACCTCAGACGCTCCTGCTCTTCTGGTCCATACTGCGCTTATAGACTAAGAAAAGAAAATGTTTTTGGACTACCCCTCGGTCTTTAATGTTATCCCACGCCATCTCCTCCTTAACAAAAAAGGTCTCTTGGCTTGGGGACTATCTCACTTGCTGCACTTAATTCGTCCAGTTCGGCAAGCGAAACTCCCCTATCCTTCCTAACAAGAGCCTATTTTATCCCCTAACCTCTCTTCTCCCTCCACATTGACGAACCAAGATCACCAAATGACTGCTTGTATGTTACTGTCTTCTCCTGATGCCTCTGATGAAGAATCCCCGGAGAATGTTGAAACGTCAGGTGAATTAAATTAAAATCTTGTCCCAGCGATTGCATCATCTTCTTCTTCTCCTCGAGACCCAGGGGGTTGCAACACCCGTATTTGGGTATGTCTGGCTGAAGACGACTAAGAAGTCCGAAAGGGTCCTTCAAATCCCGCCAGTGCAGTGCAGCTGTTGGCGGGGCAAATTCCGCTTTAACAATTATGGCTGGTTGGCTGTTGTATAACGCAGTAATAAACTTGTTTAAGAGTAGTTTACTTTACCGCACTGATAGCAAAAGGCGTAAAAAATATATAAGGAGCAGCCGTAGCATTTTGCCACGCTCCTCCATCGCAGGGTCTAAAAAAAGCTATAAAGGCACTTTAGGCCTCTATTAAATTTTGAAATGATGCGAATAGTAGCAGTTGTGAGATTGTCGCATGTGTCGTTAGTACGTAATTTTTTCAAAAAGTAGGCTCGCTATGCGGAGAATTTTCAATAAGAGGACGGTGCCGAAGCGAGCCAGAAGTAAGGGCGATAGTGGTTTTATTCGTCGAGCCCTTGAAGACAGCAAGAACGAGGCCGACTCTGTGCTACCTTTCATTATTACAATAAGAGAGTGAGATACGCTTTATTTTGAAAATATAATTCCAAAATTTTCAGCAAAATAATCCTTTATTCACCATAAATAAAATGAGACGCAGAAACCACACAACACCGGGGAATCAAAAGCACTTCGTAATGCCCAAAGAATATAATTGTCGACGTCTTCAAGAAATTTCCCTGAATATGTCGCAAAATGTAGGCCAAATTGGACTTCCTTCAAATCGGCGCTAGCGTCGTACGCTTCTCACATCAATTTTTTAGTTAAAATTAGAAAAATGAGAGGTAAAAAGCAGTCTCTAATGGGCATACTGGACCAACCGGAGTATTTATAAGAAAATTTACATGCAAATTGAGGAAAGAAAAATTAACTGATGGATTTTCGAACTACAGAGACGTCCTCATAGTAGCCACTGGAAAGTTGTCGGTTGACCCGATAACTCGGTCCGCCTACGGCTAACAAACTGCTGTACGACCTTTCTAACCCATGTACTTTCTTTAGTCCCAAACACAAAGCCCCGTATTACTTATACTTGAAATGAATGTGATCATGTCTGATCCAGCCGGCCTCAGTGATGTCACAGACGGTACCTCTCGACGCGTGACGATTGGCGGTAGCGGTCTGGAAAGCTCCACCCATTCTCTTCTCCAGCAACAGAGACCGAACATCGAAGGTTCAAGAACAGCTTCCAAGTCCTGACGAACGGTGTCGAGCCAAATTTTGATGTGTGCTCTTCTTCGACGCCTTCAGGTGGACTGCGGTGTCGGATCGAGGGCAGTATAGCAAAGCTCGTGAGGCGGACGACGGAGAAGGTGCCCAAACCACCTCAGTTGTCTTTCTTGGGTGGCCAGAGATATCCTCGCGATACTGCCGCAGCGAGTGCGGACTGTCTCTTTTGAGACGAAGTCAGCATACTTCACTCGACGGATGGTCCCCAAACTGCGGTGGTCAAATACCTCCAGTCTTTGCTTGTCTTCAACGCGCAAAGTTCAGCACTCCCATCAATGTAGGAGGACTGACCGGACTGACGCGCGGTATTCACGGATCTTCGTGGCGATGGGGATGTCTTGTCGAATCCAAAGGCGCTTTCGGACGATTGAAAAAACCGGCTACCGGGAGAAAATGTCATCCTTGATCTGTCTTTTACGCAGCAGCCTGGCCACGACGTATTTAAAGCTGTGTTTTTATTCAGGTTGACGTCTACTAATCCCCTAGGGATGCCTTTTTCTGGTCAGGAATGCAGCTCGAGAATAATTTAGTCTTCCCGGTATCTATGGACAATCCAACGGACGCAGCGATCTCCATCCTCCGTGACACTAAAGCATGTACAAACTGTACTGACGTGTCCCTATGACACGCTAAGCTCTCCTTTGTTGCCTGAGTGGGGTTGCATATTGCGCTCTTGCCGAACAAATTTCCTAAGAAACAGTTGTTTGATATTTATTTTTCTTCTGCGCATTATTCCTCGATGTCTGTTTAGCTTCGCTTAGCTGGCCAAGATTGTGCGAACTTACTGCAATTTAGTCTCGAAGCACAAATGCGTGTGTTTGCATACGCGCCAACCGAGTTCTCCTCCATCTTTGCATGCAAGCATGCGATTTTTTGAATTTGCAAGCTTTCCTTCCACGGCGACGTAACAAACTATTTTTTGGTGATGAGGAGGGGAAAACCCCGCCTCAAGGCAGACCTCGTGGTGTGTCTGTGTGAGTACTTTCGAGGCTTTGAGGACACCACCACAGCAATAACGCAGGCAACATGCGCGCATTGATGGAGCTATTTCTTCTCCAAAAGGAACTTGGTTTTCTGAAGAAGCAGAAAGAAAAGCCTTCTTTCGGAGAAGAAAAAGGGGTACGAACCGAGGGGAGCGCAGACTGGCATTTTTAGCTTTGCATCCCGTTGGAAAGTAGCGCTTCAAAGAGGTTTGCACAACATGCAGTAGGGGGTGGAAAGTAAGTGTAAGACGGTGACCCAAAGGTGGCAGAGAACGCATGTGACTGGCACGATCTGAACCGACGCAACGTGTGTCCCCACACCCAGCTTGTATCTCACGGAGTGAAATGGGCTATAGTGGTGGTATTCTTGTATATACCGCCCTCTTTCCTCCCCCCCCACCTGGGTCCGATTTCATGACCATTTAAAGAAGGCCAGAGGTGGCAAAGGGCGCCTGTGGCTGGCGCGA